TTTCCCCCTACAGAAATTGCTCTGCTGGTGACGAACGACGAGTGGCATCTGTAATTGCCAAGGCAACATGTTATGTTTACTGTCTCAATCGCAAAGACTTCCAGGCAGGTGAGTTCACAATGAGAATACATTTTATTTATTTTTATTTACGTGCACATCAGAGTTGTGTAGAACAGGTCAAATCAAAAGCTGCCTTCTCATAACCTCCTCGTATAAAAACTTCTGCTTGGTAACTTTGTGTCAGAGTTATTTGGAACAATAGAATGATCAATAGCTGGACATTCTAAAAACAAGAATTTAAATTTCTAATTTGACTTAACTAGTTCTCCATGATCCAAGTGATTTCAGATCATCTCATTAGTGTATCACATTCAATGGATCAACAAGTGTTTGTTTCATTCATCATCACTAAATGCTATTTGATAACATCCTATCAATATTTTGCCAGTGTTGTCTGATCATCCAGACATGCGAGAAAAGATGGAGGCAGTTGCCAAGGAAAGGCTGTTAAAGATTGGACGAGTCCTAGAAGAACCTCAAGAAATGGAACAACGGTAAATATAATACTACACTGTTAATGGAATTATAGTAGTCCCCCCAAAAAAACTTTTTCCACCTCATATTCTATGAATATTCCCTTCACAACCTTGCTGATGATAGGTTTTTATCCTTTTGTTAAAATGATCATTTCAGGATTGAAGAGCAAACAATTTACATTTCTTTTGATACTTGTATCAAACCACAAATCAAGTATTGTACAAGGTTTGCATTGTTTTGGGTTCATGATCTACATGTATTCTTGTCCTTAATATTTGTATAACTCACTTCATTTGGACATTATCCCACATAAGAAATTGGATGTTTATCGTTATCCATAATAACATAAACTAACAAGTCATTGTTTCTATATCTAACATCAAACCCCCTCCATGACAATAATCGTTGTGGTTGCAGCAATGTAACAAAATGTATTGTTTGATTCCTTAATTTATGGTTAACAGTAAAATGTCATGTACTATTATATGTTTGGTTGTTCAAACCATACAAAATATAACATTGTATTTATACTGTGGTCCTGGAGTTTTCCCATGCACTATTTTTTGTATACAATACAGCAGTCCCCCCCCCCCCACCACCTGTGAATAGTTATCTAATCATGAAAATACCCCTTTTCTTCATACTCTGTATTAATGCTCAACTTTTGTCAAAATTGAGCTATGTATGTCAGAGATGCACATATTAATAACATTCTCTTGTTTGCATTTTTGTTGTTGTAGTGATAGAACAAGCGAAAGTATCTCTATGGAGTGTTGTGGCAACATAGAACCTGAAACGCAACGACTGACAGAGCTCAGTAGTATATGCAGTAATGAAGACGATAACATATCACCTATTACATCAATCCGAGTGGGATCCAGTTTACCACCTATCAATGTCAGACCAATCACAGTCCCTACACTGGCACCAGTCAGTGAGGTGTTGCCAACAGTCGACAACTCAATCTCACAAGCTTAAAGGCTAGGAAACAGTTTTGTTAAAATATCTAAAAGAAACAAATTTATTACTTGTACTATTAAAATAAAAGCTGATTAGTTTTCTGGTGTGAAACAGACAACTTTGTTTTGTAGGAATGTGCAACATATGAGTAATAATCACAAGGCACTGTTTTTTATCTGTTCTTTAATCAACCAACAAATCAAATTAAACTGAACATGCACACACATATCATTTGTCCAGCACTTGAGAGTGGTTTTTCATAAACTATGCACGATGTGTGGTTGATATAAAAGATAAGACAACAACCCTGGAAAACTATCCTGTGACAATAAATGACGTACAAGCAGCAAGTTTAACAAATCTGCGTGCGTTATTCAAATTATTATCTCTTCTGCATCTAACTCATTGTCGCATAAACTGATGGTACCACCCGGTCAACAATGGGCTTTACAAAATGCCAACTCTGAGTGTCTTTAAAAAAGAAAACAAAATTCAAGCATCAATTTTCACTAACAATATACTAAAATATACAATTCTTAAATTTTTACATGTTTTTATTTTCGTTGCTCAGCTTCAGTTGACGCAGCTTTCACACATTTGGCCATAGTCTTGGATGCTCGACTGATAGTGTCCGTCATGTAGAAGTCTTTGAGACTCTGTTGTTGACTTGCAAGTGGTGTATTCAACAGCTGTTGTTTAATATTCTGAAATTGAACATCAGAGATGGGATAAGGAATTGGCACAGAGAAATATTGTGATTGCATCTAAAACACGCACATCAAAACACTATCTCAGAAGACTACCATTTGCAGGTTTTTGAAAAATGGTCAAGTCAAAATTATTATTTTAGAGGTACCGTAAATGTTAGTGAATCTGCAGCCATTAGGTCTGTTTGGGTAATAAAGATTCTGAAGTCACTGTTGGCTTTTGGACTATTAAAGACACAATTTGGATGACAACATGCATACAACAATGTATGTTGTAGATAATTTAATTGGATAAGCAAAACGTTGCTTTAGCGGTGCACAAAATTGCACAGATTGCTATTGTAGGTACCAAAACAATCGGTGCATATGCGTACTAGACAATACAGTCCAGACAGTTTTTAGTGCATGATAAATCATAATTCACTGTGTTCATCAACATGCATTTAAAATGTAATGTTCCCATCTGTATTACCGGTACATCTTTAAACTGTAGTTTAATGGCAGTATAGTTGCGACAGAAATCATACTACTGGTTTGTGTTTAGGACTGTGTAATGGCATTACAGGATTATGACACCATCTACTGTTTAGAACCTAACATTCAAATCACCGAGATATCTGTGATTGCATATAACTATATCATGTAATAATAAATTAATGTACTGTTTTTGGTGTGAGGTTTGAAACTATTACAAATCATATACAATATATAAAACATGAATGCATTAACTGACCTTAGATAATTCCTCAGCTTGTTTAAAATAATTAGCGTCCTCCACATCCCCGTATCTTGTCAGGTTAGGAGAGACTTCTGTGAGACGATCTCTCACTTCGTGTAGTTCGTCGTAAGGTAACGTATAGCCAAGTACTTCAGATAACGCCCGGATGATCTTCCAATCATCTCTAGCGAATCCTGGTGGTGTAACAGCTAGTCTGTTAAAAATAGAAAAAGCCAATATTTAAATACAAGTTAAAAGTACTCATATGCCTGTAATGCTTTGTTTGTTATCAAGAATGAATATTGATATTATGGCTGGTGTCAATGTACAAAACATAAGTGCCACTGTCATTATTAAGGGGGCGCTGCTACGTCACAAGATGTTTCACGTTGCTAAGACGCGAGCTCTGTGCGAGCTGGTGTGGAACACCAGGGAAAATACATTGTAGCTAAATCCCAGGAAAACAGCATAAAATAAACTTTGAAGTAATCCTGGACAAGAAAATTTATATATGTTGGACATGTAGGAGTGATCTTATTACACTGTTCAGGGGAGTCTCAACAACCATTCCAAAGTATCGTTTTCTTTGAGTTTTGGCCTTTGTTTTCACAGTGATGGTTGCCAGGCGGTGAAAATACCAGGATGTCCACCCCGAGAATACACCATTGTGAAATTCTGGATGTGCCCAAAAAATGCAATTTTACATGACACTTCGGTAAGCCCACCAGTACACAATCACACTAACTCTTACTTTGTTTGTTGTGCCCGGCCTTCTGTGTTAACATAAGTGCCAACTTTCTCTGTATATGCAGCACCAGGTAAGATGACATCGGCCATACTAGCACCACTATCACCATGATGCCCTTGATAAATAACAAAACAATCTTTGGGAAGATCATCTCGTGTTATAGTGCCCTCATCAGCGCCAAGCAGGAAGAGTACTTTGGGTGGGTTATTACGAATAGCTTCCACGCCTGCTTTGTAACCAAGATCTAAAGCAGCAACTTGTCCTGCTACCTGTATGTCAGAAAAAGGTTTTTTTTTATAATGTTACACAAATATCACATGTTGGACAACTGAAACAAGCATTTAAATCATTATTAATCCTCAAGCCTGCTTCAAGGAATGTACATAACCAGTAAATAAATTAACTATTATACTGACCCTATGAAGTACATTGAGTACCCTCCATCCTTCATCCACCTGTCCACTAGCTCTCGCAGACTGTGCAATATTAGTCACTGCTGACAGGATAGCCTGGCCGTCTTTACGCTGTAAAGCGCCACTACCAATCACCACCATGGGTCGTTTGGCAGATGCCAGCTTTTTACAGAATGGGTGTTTACGATCCACAATATCTTTAAGGACAGTGGTGGAGTCACCAAGGTGCTATAAAAAGTTAATTTCATCAGCATATTAAGGATGGTCAAGGCAACACAGAACAGGAATTGTCAAAACCCTAAGTACATTATTCTTTGTGATTAGTGGTTCTAATGTGCAAAAGCAAGACTTGGGTTACTCAAACTACAAAAGGCTGCCAAAGTAAGCTTTAACACACTAGGAAAATCAGTGACTGTTACCATGGAAACAAGTTAGAGCAACCTGATTTGTTATCTTTTCAAGAATCCTTTCTCTTTTGGTTACAAATGCCTGGTTCTTTCCAATTGGTGACAACACAGGTGAAAAATGAAATGCCTTTGTTTCACTTACATCATATGTGTAGGTCAAATCCACTTTAGATCCCACTACAGCAACTTCCAAGTCATTAAGTCGCCAACTTTTTCTGATACGGCAATTTAATAATGGAGCTTCATATCTAGGATTAGTTCCCACCAGCAACAAGAGATCAGCTTCTTCAATTCCGGCAATACTTGTGTTCAGCAGATAGTTGGAACGCAGATCAGTCCTGTAATGTGGATTGATTGACTGATCATTTGAATCAAATACTTCTAGTAAAATACTGGAATGCTAACCCCTGAAAATAGGGTAGGCCCAAGAATAAATGACAACACTCCTCACAACACATCCCAAACAATGTGAAAATTACCTGACATGAGCTAACGCTACCCGGTTAGTAAATATGTAAAATGAAAAAGATGATTTATGAATTCTAATTTTTAATTGGTATGTGTCACATTATTGTTTATTGCCTTTAAGCAAACGTGACACTGAACAACGATTGTTTTTTCTCTGAAAAGGAGAAACTAAATAAAATGTTTTTTTTCATTTCTGAACATATGATCAAAGGTTGCATTAATGCCAAAACATGTGTCCAGGTCATAACAATTATTGAAACAAGTCATTGTCAATGACACGTCCCCGTTCCATTCATATTTGAGTGACATATACATTCAAAACAGCAACAATATGGATGTTGAACTGCATTCAGTAAAACAAAATAGCCACCAGTCAGATATTTTCAACACAATCCAAAAAAAAATTTAAACTAAATTTGCCCACGCATGACTAAGATTCAGTTCCGGTATGGTGAAAATGTGAATTTTTGACCTTAAAAGGACTGGCCCAAATGCACAGGCATATGTATGATATAATGTATGATGTGTATGTGAAGTTTGAACTTGATCTGTCTAGGCATGTCCGAGATCTGGATCGAAAACTAAATTCTTTAAAACAAAATGGCCGCCAGTTGGCCATTTTGAACTTGATCCAAAGAAAAATTGGTATGCATCAAGCTTATATTATGTTTAAATATGCACTAAATCTTAACAAGATCCATCCATGCATGACTGAGATTCGGTTCCGGAATTGTGAAAATACGCGATTTTGATGCATTTTCGGCCTTAAAATGGCCATCATTCAGCTATTATTAAGCGGATCATGAAACAAATGAACATATCTATTTGTGACATGATGTACCATGTGTGTGTGAAGTTTGAACTTGATCAATCCAGACATGTCTCGGATACGGATCCAGAACTGAATTCTTTAAAACAAAATGGACGCCAGTCGGCCATTTCGAACTTGATCCGAACAAAAAAAATTACGTGCATCAAGGTCCTATTATGTTTAATGTATGTACCAAATTTGAATAAAATCCGTCCATGCATAACTGAGATCTGGGTCCGAAATGGTGAAAATGTGTGATTTCAATGCATTTTCGGCCTTAAAGCAGCCACCATTTGGCTATCGTTAATGAGATCATGAAAAAAATGCACATACATATTTGTGACATGATGTACCTTGTGTGTGTGAAGTTTGAACTCGATCAATCCAGGCATGTCTCAGATACGAATCCAGAACTGAATTCTTTAAAACAAAATGGCCACCAGTCGGCCATTTTGAACTCGATCCGGGAAAAAAATTTACATGCATCAAGGTCCTATTATGTTTAATGTATGTACCAAATTTGAACAAAATCCGTCCATGCATAACTGAGATCCGGGTCCGGAATGGTGAAAATGTGCAATTTCAATGCATTTTCGGC